TACTTTTTGCAGGATGTCAATGATGTGCTCACAGCTATAGATCATGTTATCAACATGGGACTTGCTGACCCATCTAAAATCACTGTGCTTGGTGGTTCTCATGGTGGCTTTTTGACCTCCCATTTGATTGGTCAGGTGGGATTGCTTTTTAACATGATCACACTATACCACCCCGCTGTAGTGAAATACCTTTTATCGATTGGATGCTGTGATTTGTAATAATACATGGATATTGGCTCAAGGAATGAAAGACCTGAATTTTACAAATTTATGCAGGCACCAGATAAATTTGTTGCTGCGGCTGTGAGGAATCCTGTTTGTAACATTGCATCAATGGTCGGTACAACAGATATTCCTGATTGGTGTTATTTTGAAGCCTATGGCACTAAGGGGAAAAGTATCTATACAGAAGCACCCTCAGCTGAGCACCTGAGTCACTTTTTCAGCATGTCTCCTATAGCACACCTTTCAAAGGTATGCTTACTGAAAATAGTTTCATTTCTGTATTAGGACTTAAGTGTTTCCTAAAAGAAGCACAACAGAATGGTAAAACAGTGGGTGCCTCGATATGTTCAAGAGCAAGTCGAACTCAGTGCAATAGAAAATCTTCTTCCACAGCTGTGTCAGCATTATTGGCATGGACAATATGATCCTGTGACCAGGCTCGTTTAAGCACTAATGGATGAGTGCACCTTATGCCTTTGTATGCGGTGCTAAAGCCACTGACGAACTGTATACTATGCTTTGTCACTTACAGGCTGGCTGAGATTCTGGATGATTCCAGAATAGAAAATTTAAATAAAATAGACCTTGTTGTCCAATTTAATACTGCAGCTAATGGAACATGAACCCCATTCTTATGACTTGACTCTATAATATTTGTTTTACAATCTCCAGCAGGAAACTTAGAACTAAAAGTTCTCTGCTGTCTTAAGAATAATTCACATTGAATCATTTCTATTAAGACAGTTGGTTAGTTAACAGTACCTAGTAGTAATTACTGATATATATAATTTTTGCAGGTTAAAACACCAACTTTGTTTCTTTTAGGTGCTCAAGATCTCCGGGTTCCAGTTTCTAATGGCTTGCAAGTAAGTTATTCTGTTTCCCATTAGAAAATGATATAACGAATTGGAGTAAATGATCATAGTTACGAATTACATTTAAGACTTCTAATTGTTTGTTTATATGCATATGACCTTCTGAATTTAGCCAGCACCCTAAGGTCTTTCCTAAGATGTAAAATGGAAAGTTAAGAACCAGCAATTCACTATCTAATGATAATTTTTGTCAGTTGATATGGAATGGTGTTTCACTGAGGATGAAATCCTGGAGGATTTACGGTCGTGTAGGAGGGATAAGGCTACGGGCCTGGATGGTTTCAACATGGGGTTTCTGCAGAAATTTTGAGAAGTGATTAAGAATGATGTGGTGGAGGTCTTCAATGATTTTCATAAGTCTGGCAGATTTATTAGATCCCTTAACTCAACTTTCATTGTTTTGATGGTAAAAGTGAGTGGGGCCTCAAACATAAGGACTTTAGACCTATTAGCCTTGTTGGGTGTGTCTATAAATTAATTGCCAAAGTCCTTACTAGGAGAATGACTAAGGTACCATATTTGGTCATTAGGGAG